CGCCTTCGATGCCCCTCGCTGCCCGTACTGGTTCCGCGGTCGCCTTCGCTCGCTGTCCTTCGTGACCCCGTTGCTGCCCTCAGTGGCCCCGTCGCTGCCCATTGTGGCCCCGCATTATATGCCCTTCGTGGCCCCCGCTCGCAGTCGCCCGTCGTGGCCCCATACGTATGCCCTTCGTAGCCCCGCTGTCGCCCTTCGTGGCCCTCTCGCTGCCCTTCGGTGGCCCCTTTGCTGCCCTCAGTGGCGCCGCTGTCGCCCTTTGTGGCTCCATATGCGAATGCCCTTCGTGGCCCCCGTTCGCTCGCGCCCGTCGTGGCCCCATATGCATGCCCTTCGTGGCCCCAGTGTCGCCCTTCGTGGCCCCAGTGTCGCCCTTCGTGGCCCCCTCTCTGCCCTTCGTGGCCCCGTTTCTGCCCTCGGCGGCCCCGTCGCTGCCCTCTGTGGCCCCGGATTAGTTGCCCTTCGTGTCCCGCGCTCGCTCGCGCCCTTCGTGGTCCCATACGCATGCGTTTCGTCGCCCCGCTGTCGCCATTCGTGGCCCTCTCGCTGCCCTTCGTGGCCCTCTTTCTGCGCCCAGTGGCCCCGCTGTCGCCGTTCCTGACCCCATATGTGTATGCCCTTCGTGGCCCCCGCTCGCTTGCGCCCGTCGTGGCCCCATATGCATGCCCTGCGTGGCCCCGGTGTCGCTCTTTGTGGCCCCCTCTCTGCCCTTCGTGGCCCCGTGTCTGCCCTCGGCGACTCTGTCGCTGCCCTCTGCGGCCCCCTATGCGTATGCCCTCCGGGGCCCCCCGCTCGTGCGCGCCCGTCGTGGCCCGCGCCAGCAGCGGCTCCCGCTCGATACCTCCTTACAATTTATGGAGGAATCGCGACCTCGCTTGGGACCTCTCTGCAATTTGCCTCCGAATCGCGGCTCCCGCCGGACACTTCCTCACAGTGTATTGGGGAATCGCGCTTTCGCTTAGGACTTCCTTGCCACCGTACGCGTGCCCTTCGTAGCCCCGCTGTCGCCCTTCGTGGCCCTCTCGCTGCCCTTCGTGGCCCCTTTGCTGCCCTCAGTGGTCCCGCTGTCGCCCTTTGTGGCCCCATATACGAATGCCCTTCTCGGCCCCCGTTCGCTCGCGCCCGTCGTGGCCCCATATGCATGCCCTTCGTGGCCCTGGTGTCGCCCTTTGTGGCCCCTTCGCTGCCCTTCGTGGCCCCGTTTCTGCCCTCAGCGGCCCCGTCGCTACCCTCTGTGGCCCCAGGTTGCATGCCCTTCGTGGCCCGTTATCTGTTACCCTTCGTTTTTAAGGGCTTCACTAACCACACGTGGCAGGGAATGAATATACCCCCCAAAAGGGGGTACGATCGAAGACGAAGAGGGCGGGTATCCAGGGTTTGGGATATGCAAATGGAATGACACGCGAGCAGATAAGAGCGAGCAGTCTTAAACTAATTATTGTTGTTGTTGTTGTTGTTGAACATTATTTCTTCTAAAGAATAATTATTGTTGGGACCCCTGGTGCACGACCCCCCCGCCGCGCCTAGGCCGCAGCCTCATTTTCATCATTTTCGTGAGGAAGTCTCAGGCAAAACGGGTTGGTCCGGATCCGGTTGTGTTGTTACGATCGGTTTTCCCTTGCAAAAAATAAGCTAAAGTGGACATTTCTTGTTCTAACATAACCAAACTTCAAGAATCCCTTGCAAAAAATAAGGTAAAGTGGACATTCGCGCGCGCAAGACGAAATCCTTCCAAAACCTTAGTTTTCGTAGCGATTTTAACATAAAAACATCAAAAAACCAATGGTTTTTCAACAAAAAAATGTCAAAATCTCATCCCGCGCGCTCTTGCGGATTCGTAGGAAACCCAACACTTTTTAAACATTTCTGTCAAACGGGCTTTTGCGAGCAACTTTTTCGAACTTCTGCAACAACGGTTGCGCACCTGCCAGGGCCATCATCCCTGTCAAATAATACCATGCGGGACACATTCGTTTTTTCTTCGCGCGCGCACGCCGTCGTCGTCGGCCGCGGGGCCCTGAATAGTAGCCACGGTCGTCCGCATGCCACGAAGTGAAGTGTCCGAACGTCATAGGGCGGGAAGCTGGGTGTGGGTGGTGGCGAAGAGTCGTTTGGAAATTTGGTAGAGCTTGAACCGGCCCCCCCACAAAGTGGGGGTATTGCCCGCCTCCTATGAAAACCCTGGCACTGGTGAGAACGGAGTGTCCACGTGCAGTCGTTGTTGTCGTTAGTTGTTGTTGTTGTTGTTGTTGTTGTTGTTGTTGTTGTTGTTGTTGTTGTTGTTGTTGTTGTTGTTTTTGTTGTTGTTGTTGTAATTGTTGTGGTGGTTGTTGTTGTTGTTGTTGTTGTTGTTGTTGTTGTTGTTGTTGTTGTTGTTGTTGTTGTTGTTGTTGTTGTTGTTGTTGTTGTTGTTGTTTCTCCCCCCTCTCTCTCCGTCCCTCCTGTCGTTGAGGTGGCACGCCGTCCCCGCCATCTCCTCCCCCTCCGCCCTGGCACCGCTCTCCTTGGGAGCGGCACCCGCCCAGCGGCTGTGAGCCGTGCCTCGCGCCCTGGAGGTCACCGAGTCGCACGGAACCGCCCATGGCACAGCACGGCGTCCACGGGTGCCCCCTGGAAGTCGGGAGCAGCACTGGGGAAGTCAGCGCCGACAGGGGCCCGACAGCGCGCCCCGCCCAGACCGTGCGGATTTGGCATCGGGGGCCCACCGCCGATTCCAGGTCGATGCCCCCCTCCCTGAACGGGTCCTCCCCCCCCTACAGTGGGGGCCATGCCAAGGAACACCCTGCTTGCCTCCAGGGTGCCTTGGGTTTCTTGGGTTTCGATGCTTTTGCGGCAGAACGCGTGACGTTCCCACACCAAACATCAATGGACGTCCTCTGGTCTCAAGGTTGGGTTTCTTGTGGAAGGTGTCTTGTGGACTGGCCTCCTCTGTAAGGCTTCTTCTCAATGCAGCGTCTCGCACTTTTTCCCCCAGCTCATCAGGTGGGGCGTCAGGTCCCTGGTGCGAGCGGCCCACGTCGGCGGCGGGCGAGCATCGGCAGCCGACACGGCCAGTGCCCTCGAGGACATTTGGAAGTCGCAGAAGGCCTCCCCTCGGCCTGGCTCAAAGCCTGACATCACCCCCCTGGTTCACCCCAGCCTTGTACAAAAGGTTCTCCTCCTCCTCCTCTTCCTCCTCCTTGCTCCTCATCTGTACTCCTCGCTCCACCCTCCTCCCGTCACCTCCTTCTCCTTTCCTTCTCCTTTATTTCTCCTTTCCTTCTCCTTCTGCTTTCCTTCTCCTTTCCTCGCTCCTCCCTCCTTCCCTCCACCTCCTCCGCCTTCAACACCTCCGCCCACTCCTGCTCCGAAAGCCCCTGGAAGCCTGCGGTGACCCCCGGAGGCCTTCGGAAGCACCCAGCGGCATTCCAAGCAAAGAGAGAATCGGCGACAGACTCCTGCCCACAGCCAAAGCCCTCCCTTCCCTCCCTTACCTCCCTTCCCGGCTCGTGTACCGTCCTCCCTCCTCCGCCCTCTTTGCTCCTCGCTCGTGGCTTCTTTTTCCCGGGGATCGAATCATGATGATGATGATGATGGTGGTGGTGGTAGTGGTGGTGATGCTGCTGCTGATGATGATGCTGATGATAATGACGATGACGATGACGATGATAATTGTGATGATGATGCTGCTGCTGATTATGATGATGACGATGATGATGATGATATTGTTGATGCCGCCTGTTATGATGATGATGATGGTGCTGCTGATGATGATGACGATGATGATGATCATGATTATGTTGACGATGCTGCTGATGATGATGACGATGATGCTGATGATGCTGATGATGATGCTGATGATGATGACGATGACGATGACGACGATGATGATGATAATGATACTGATGCTGATGATGATGCTGATAATGATAATAATGAGGATGCTTTATGATGCTGATGATGATGATGATGATGATGATGATGATGGTGATGGTGACGATGATGATGATGATGATGATGATGACGATGATGATGATGATGATGATGATGATGATGATGATGATGATGATGATGATGATGATGATGATGATGATGATGCTGCTGCTGCTGCTGCTGATGATGATGATGATGATGATGATGATGCTGCTGCTGATGCTGATGATGATGATGATGATGATGGTGGTGATGGTGATGATGATGCTGATGATGATGATGCTGATGATGATGAAGATGAATATGCCTATGATTATGATGATGATGATGATGCTGATGATGAGGATGAGGATGAGGATGAGGATGAGCATGAGGATGATGATGATGATGATGGTGGTGATGATGATGATGTTGATGATGATGCTGATGATGATGATGCTGATGATGATGATGATGATGATGATGATGATGATGATGATGATGATGATGATGATGATGATGATGATGATGATGATGATGAAGATGATGATGATGATGATGATGATGATGATGATGATGATGATGATGATGATGATGTGATGATGATGATGATGATGATGATGATGATGATGATGATGATGATGATGATGATGATGATGATGATGATGATGATGATGATGATGATGATGATGATGATGATGATGATGATGATGATGATGATGATGATGATGATGATGATGATGATGATGATGATGATGATGATGATGATGATGATGATGATGATGATGATGATGATGATGATGATGATGATGATGATGATGATGATGATGATGAGGAGGAGGAGGAGGAGGAGGAGGAGGAGGTACTGGAGGTACTGGAGGGAGAGGAGGAGGAGGAGGAGGGTTGAGGAGGAGGAGGAGGATCCCGAAGATGAAAGTCCGCTCAACGTCAAAACAAAAATGAGTTGGAGGAGGAGGAGGAGGAGGAGGAGGAGGAGGAGGAGGAGGAGGAGGAGGAGGAGGAGTAGGAGTAATAGGGTGGACGAGAGCAGACCGGAGGAGGAGGGTTGAGGCGGAGAAGGACAACGGCCGGCTCCGCCTTGCGGACAGGACGCGGACGCGGCCTACCGAAGACTGCGACTGCTCGGCCAGGGCTCCTTCGGCAAGGCGTGCTCCTGCACGCGGCTGTGGGTAGGGGCGGGGGCCGCGCTCCCTCCCCAGCACGCCGGGCGGCTAGGGCGGACCCCAGCAAGCGGGGGGATTCGGGCGGGCAGCTCGGGGAGCTGTCGTCGGCTCTTGGAGGCTCTCCTGCCTCGGGGTGTTCTCCAGCTGCGCCTCGTCGGGAGCTCTCCCCGTGTGCCCGAGTCAGGACCCGGAAGCCACCAGGCGTCGATGGGGGGCGAGGACCAGGGGTGTGAGGATGACCCTCACGGCTGGGGCCAAGAGATCTTCCAGATCTCATGGCCCTTTTCTCTTATTTTTTGTTTCGACGTCTTCTTCCTTTGGTTGTTGTTGTTGTTGTTGTTGTTGTTGTTGTTGTTGTTGTTGTTGTTGTGGTTGTGGTTGTGGTTGTGGTTGTGGTTGTTGTTGTTATTGTTGTTGTTGTTGTTGTTGTTGTTGTGGTTGTTGTTGTTGTTGTAATTAATTGTTGCTTTTGTTAGTATCCTTAGTGCCACGTTTACAACAATCAACATCATTCATACCAGTACTCGTACTATTACTAATGTTGTTCTTAGTGCTATTACCTTTGCGTTTTATCTCACCGTGCTGACCTAGTGCGTCTTGTTATAGATGATCTCACCATTTTATTTTCATTTGTTGGATACATGTTCGCATTACCATGCGCATCGTGCATTTTCAGTATCATTGATACTGTTATTACTGTTATTGCTATCACGATCATCGTTGTTGTTAGTATTGTCATTATCAAATCAGTTTTCATAGTGACAGCATTTGTATTATTATTACGAATCGTATTTATCATAGCTGTTACTGTTTCTTCTTCTTGCAACACGTTCCCTGCTCCCGCTCGTCCGCCTACAAGCCTCGGGCCACGCTGCGCCAAACCCCCTCTTCCCGGCCCCGCTCTTCGGCGCACCCGAGCATCGAAACTCGAAGTTCTATGATCCACCGTTTTGACAGTTTTTTGCCAGTTTCGGTCTGCCAGGCTCTAGGTCTCCTAGATGGGTCGGAGTAGATGGGGTCGGAGGTTTGCGCCGTATCGCCGATGCATCGCCGATGCGGCTCGATGTGGGGCCCGAATTGCTTCACGTCGACGTCGCCGATGCATCGCCGACGTCGCCGACGACGTTTGAAGCTCTGGGCGAAGCGCACCCTTGGAGAGGTCTGGGGGTCGAGTCTGCATCGGGCCTTTGGGCGCTCTTGCACTCCGAGGCGCGAGGGACGGGGGGAAAGGGGAAGACCCTCGCCTCCCGCGCCTCCTCCTCTTCCTCCTCCTCCTCCTCCTCCTCCTCCTCCTCCTCCTCCTCCTCCTCCTCCTCCTCCCCCTCCTCCCCCTCCTCCTCCTCCCCCTCCCCCTCCTCCCCCCCTCCTCCTCCTCCGCCTCCTCCTCCTGCCTCCTTCTCGCCCTTTTTCCCCTCGCCGCCGCCTCCGTCTCCCCACCGCACTCCCCCCCCTCCAGCCTGCGCGGGGGCGCGGCGGCGGAGGGTCGGGCGAGGGAGGAAGCGGAGAGGAAGGGGGGGTCACTGGAGAGGAGGGGAAGACCCTCGCCTCCCGCGCCTGCTGCTGCTGCTCCTCCTCCTCCTCCTCCTCCTCTTCCTCCTCCTCCTCCTCCTCCTCCTCCTCCTCCTCCTCCTCCTCCTACTCCTCCCCCTCCTCCCCCCCTCCTCCTCCTCCTCCGCCTTCTCGCCCTTCCGGGGGGGGGGAGGGATGACGGGAACATCAGGGAGGGGGGACGGGGACGGGGCAGATGGAGAGAGAGAGAGAGAGAGGCCTCGTAGCGCCGAGAGCCACGGCTGCAGCCGTGCAGAGCGCCTGCGATGGCTGGGTGACCGCGCGTCGACTTCTGGGCCACTCCTCGTGCATCATGGGCTGTGCACCCGAGAGGACGCGATTGAGCATGACGCGTTCTGCCGATCCTACTCCGGGTGCTGCTCGGGATTTCGCGGAAAGAGAGAGAGAGAGAGAGAGAGTCAGAGAGAACGAGGTGAAGAGAGGGGAGGAGGAAACTGAGGGGACAGGATGGAGAGAGGAGCGGGAGGAAGGGAGTGGAGGGGAGGGACAGGAGATGGGGGCGATCCAATGTGCCCCCCTGAGATCAGCCTGAGATCCGACTTCGCGAGGAAGTGTAACATCGTGGCAAGTCACGACCAGATTCCCAGACTCCATCTCTTTGGCCTTTTTTAAAACTATCGATCCGTGTGGGTCTGGGGCCCGACCTCCCGCCCCGTTTCGGCCCTTCGTGCGCCTCCCGAGGCGTTCCTGGCCCGCGACCTCGAGAGCAATGACCTGTGCGTCATGAAGCAGGTCCGCATCGAGCGCATGGACGCCAAGGCCGTCGCGAGCAGGATGCGTACGAGGAGGAGGAGGAGTAGGAGGAGGAGGAGGAGGAGGAGGAGGAGGAGGAGGAGGAGGAGGGGGTGGAGGAGGAGGAGCAGGAGGAGGAGGAGGAGGAGGGAGGAGGAGGAGAGGAGGAGGAGGAGGAGGAGGAGAAGGAGGATAGCAGGAGGTGCCTTGGGCCGTCCGAGGGATTTCTTGGGCCCCGTACTCGTTTTATGGCCTCGTCTTCTGCTAGTCCGAGGCCCTCTTGGAACCGTCGTGAGCCGAGAGAGCTGGGAAGCGAAAAAAAGTTCAAGCCCCAAGGGAGGTGGTAATGTTTTGGATCAATTTGGCCTCCCTGAAGGGCCTCTTGGCCTTCTGTCAGTTGCCTTGGCGCCCCTTGTTGCCCCCGCTTGGCGCCACTCCGACTACTCCTTTTGGAGCTGTTTGGGGTGACTCTCGAGGCAGCTGGTTGGCCGACTCGAGCCGCCTTGGCGGCTTCGGTGGCCCTCCTTTTGGGCCGCCCTGGAAGTCCTGGAGAGCCTCGGAGAGGCACGGGGAGTCGTCGGGCTGCTCGGGGGAAGCTTGGGAGGGAGGCGAGGCACGCACCGGGGCGTGGCGGAGGAGGGGGGGGGGGCCCTGCGGGGCTTTGGGAGACCCTGCCGGGCAGCGCTCGGAGACCTGCCACGCCTCAGCGTCCGAGGGGCACGGTGGCGGATGATGATGCCGATGACGACGGCGATGGTAATGGTGGTGGTGGTGATTATGGGGATGATGACGATGACGATGATGACGACGACGATGACGACGATGATGATGATGATGATGATGATGATGATGATGATGATGATGATGATGGTGATGGTGATGCTAATGCTGATGCTGCTGATGACGATGCTGAGAGGGATGTGAGGATGCTGTTGGCGTTGAACATGATGATGCTGCTGCTGCTTGTGACAGTGATTATGGTGATGCTGATGGTGATGGTGATCCTGATGCTGATGATGACGGTGATGACGCTGTTGATGATGATGATGATGATGATGATGATGATGCTGATGCTGATAATGATGATGCTGATGATGCTGCTGATGATGCTGCTGATGATGATGACGATTATGATGATGGTGGTGGTGATGATGATGATCATCATCCTGCTGCTGATGCTAATCGTGATGACGACACTATTTTCATTGTTTTTATTATTGTTTTTTGTTTTTTTGTTGTTGTTGTTGTTGTTGTTGTTGTTGTTGTTGTTGTTGTTGTTGTGGTTGTTGTGGTTGTGGTTGTGGTTGCTGCTGCTGCTGCTGCTGCTGCTGCTGCTGTTGTTGTTGTTGTTGTTGTTGTTGTTGTTGTTGTTGTTGTTGTTGTTGTTGTTGTTGAACTCTCATTTCTGCAAAACAATTATTGCTGATCCTCCCCGCCTGGTGCACATTTTTTTTTCGATTGAAGTGCCCTTCTGGGGCTCGCACCCTGTTTTTATCCGTAAGGGCTTCGCCCCCTGCCGCCGGCCCTCTCTCTCGGAGAATGGGCCATGGAAGAGCGAAGTCATGAGGCTTTGGCTTCGCCGTGAAACAGTGTCGAGACCTGTTTGTTTTTCGACTCTGACCCTACGGATCTGCATGAGGGGTGCCGCCGAATTTCAGAAATGTGGCAAATCCGTTGTGTTTTTGGACCCTGACCCTGCGGATCTGCATTAGGGATGCCGCCGAATTTCAGAAAAGTGGCAAATCATTTGTGTTTTTGGACCCTGACCCCGCCGATCTGCGTGAGGCGTGCCGCCGAATTTCAGAAATGTGGCAAATCCTATGTGTTTTTGGACCCTGACCCCGCCGATCTGCCTGAGGGGTGCCACCGAATTTCAGAAATGTGGCAAATCCTATATGTTTTTGGACCCTGACCCCGCCGATCTGCGTGAGGGGTGCCACCGAATTTCAGAAATGTGGCAAATCCTATGTGTTTTTGGACCCTGACCCCGCCGATCTGCCTGAGGGGTGTCAATGTTTACCCACCCCAGCAATTCAGACAATCCGATTTGGGCGTGGTAAAAATGTGCATTCTGGACCTTCCCCCCTCGCGCGGTCCATCAACAAGGAACAGTAAGCAGCAAGAAGCAGAACTGTAACAAGGAACAGTAAGCAGCAAGAAGCAGAACTGTAACAGTGGAAACCGGAAGCTGCAACTGGTACAGGAAATTGCGAACTTCCGGCCTACAGCCTGGTGGCACCACAAGGGGGCCGGCGGATCAGGGAAAGTCTTGGCTCAAACTGTGTCGTTGGCCCCCAGTTTACAACAACAATGGCTCCCGCCGGATACTTCCTCACGATTTATTCAAGAATCGCGCTCTCGCTTGGGACTTCCTGGCAATTTACCACCGGATCGCGGCTCCCGTTTGATATTTCTTGACGATTTATAGCAGAATCGTGCTCTCGCTTGGGACTTCCTCGCAACTTACCACCAAGCCGCTTCGATCGGGCATCAATGTTTTCGTCCCCGATCCGTTTTGATGGTCATGGGGCCCGATATAACGGGGCCCAGTGGCCGAAATCGAGGAAAAACGCCAGGAGTGAACAACATCAGATCGTAGGGGATTGTAGAGGCCTCTGGACTGTGCCGCCGATCTGGGACGCTCCGGGACGCTCTGTGCGAACTCGTCCCGTTAAATGGTTTGTGAGCTTTACCTCGAGGAGGCGGGATGGAGGAGGAGGAGGAGGAGAAGAAGGAGGAGCAGGAGGAGGAGGAGGAGGAGGTGGAGGAGGAGGAGGAGGAGGAGGAGGAGGAGGAGGAGGAGGAGTAAGGAGGCGGAAGAGGAGGAGGAGGAGGAGGAGGAGGGAGGGCAACGTCTGACAATCTTTCTTGCCTTCTCAGGACTCAGGACTCAGGAGGATGGGGAAACGGAAGAGGAAGAAGCGTCGGCGGCGCGCCCAATGGGGAAGTGAGAGGGGCGGGCCTTCTCAGAAGGCTTGGAAGTCGTCTGGCTCTTTGAGAAGACTCCTCCTGAGCCTTCCCCGAAGACGCAGAGAGCTTCCCAGAAGGTCCAAGGGCTTCTGAGAAGCCTCGCCGCCTTTGAGAGGATCTGCTCACATGCCCCCCCTTCGCTCGCCGCCGAATTTGGTTCTTGGGTCATCGCTCGGGTCTCTGGCGGCCGTTGGGGACGCTCTGGGCGCCCCCCTGCACGCCCTCGGCGAGGCTCCGCTGCTGGCAAGCATCCCGAGGCCGGAACACCGCCGAGTGCCGACAGAACCGCCCGAAAAGCTTGGCCTCGGACCCGAAGCCTCGGACCTCGAAGCTCGAGCCCGAAGCCTCGACCCGAGACCTCGAACCTCGAACCTCGGACCTCGAAGCCTCGACCCGAGACCTCGAAACCTCGAACCTCGAAGCCTCGAGCTTCGAGCCTCGAGCCCGAAGCCTCGAGCCTCGAGCCTCGGGCCTGGAGCCCGAAACCGCCGAGAGGGTGCTGGCAGCCGCCTGGGCCCGGGGCCGCGGCCGCCGCCAGGCCAGGGACACGGCGGTGCGGGAGGCGGTGGCCCTCAAGCGGGTGCGGCACCCCAACGTGGTGCGCTTCCGGCAGGCATGGGGCCGCCCGCCCCTGCTGCCCGCGCTCGTCTAGTGCGGGAAGGGGCACCCTCGGAGCCGATGGTCGAGAGGGGTGCAGTGGAAGCCCATACCAAGAAGCACCCAGGCAGCTGGAGTCCCAGCAGATGGGGCTGGAGGGTCGCGCCGCATGGACGATGCATCGACGACGTGGCTCGGTGCGGAGCCCGATTTTCTCCACGTCGGCGTCGCCGATGCACCGCCGACGTCGCCGATGCGGCGCGATCTTGCGACCCCATCTTCTCGGACCCCATCTGGGAGGCCTCTGCAGTGGAAATCCATGCCGAGAAACACCCTGCTTGCCTCCAGGGTGCCCTGGGTTTTCTGGGTTTTCGATGGTCTCGCTATGGAAAGCGTGACGTTCCCACACCTGAAATCAATGAACGTCCTGGGGTCTCAGGTTTGGGTTTCTGGTGGAAGGTTTCTTGTGTTCGAGCTCCTACTGTACACGCTGGTCGTTGAGAGTAGTTGGTGTTCTGGGATTCCCAGATTCCAATCTACTTTCTAGGCGCCTTCCTGCTTCAAGAGTCGAGTGGTGTGTTTCCCTCTTCCCTCCTCGGGGGGCGGCAGCCCAATCTGCTTCCAGCACCTTCATGCTTCTACCCACTTCTGCCGACCGACGGGTACAGTCGAAACCGATGGCAAGGATGGGTAATCTTGGCGGCGAGCGAGGGGGGGACGTGAGAAGGAGAAGGCCTTCTCAGAAGGCGGATGGACTTCTCGGAGGCCCTCGCGCCTTCCAACAAGTTTTCTGTCTCTTCGGGATAGGCTTAGGCAACCTTCCAGAAGGCCGGGGGAGTTCGAGCCTTCTGAGAAGACCTGCCCCTTCTCACTTCCCACCAGGCTCGCCGCCGATAACCTTCCCAAGGGTACTTATCCTTGCATCCTCGGTCCATCCTTGGCCTCTTTCGATGGCCAGCCCCGCTCGAGGAGCCTCGAAATGACCTCCAAGGCCCTTGCCTCCTTCTCGCGCATCCTTGCTATCAGTTTTGATTGTTGATCGGTCTCAAGTCATGTCAACCTTGTGTACCTTGGATCCAGCTTTAGCGTCTATTCGCGTCGATCAGTGCCTGATAATCCATGGGGTAGCGCCGATTTAGCGTCGACTTAGCGTCGATTAGCGTCGATTGGCGTCGATTCTGAAGAGGCCACAGATGGTATGGGAGGCTATCCTTCTTTTTTTTGATGTTTCTAAGCCAGCCTGCGGCTGGTCCCTGAGCAGAGGGCGCCGCCACGAGGAGGGACCTAGAGGCAGCTGGGAGCTGGACTCTCCTGGGACTCCTCCTCCATCCGTTCTGTGGCCTGCTTCCCCTCCACAGTCAAGGCGCTGAACGAAGGACCACGTCGGCCTCAGGAGGGGCTGGCCGTTCCTTAGATCTATGTCGGGCACCTTGTTTGTGGCCCAGGCCCGCCGTGGCCAGAAAAGCCCCTTCGTTCCTCGTGGCGTTCCTTTTGGTACCGCGTCGACTGTAGGGGTTGGCGGGAAGCTCCCTGGAGTGGCTTCACGACCCCATTTGTCCTGTCCGACGCTCCTGCTGCTGCTGCTGCTGCTGCTGCTGCTGCTGCTGCTGCTGCTACCCCTTGGGGCGCTGTGAGCAGCATCGCGGCTGCCGTTCTCGCCGTGCCCTGAGATCCTGGCGTCCCAACTTTTCTGCGAGGGTGGCGTTTTTACCCGGCTTCGGGCCTCGGGACCCTCCCGGATCGGTCCGCCCTGAAAATGGCGCAGAAAGATTCGGTTTAGGGCTTTGGTTGTGTTGTGTTTTTGTTGGCCGATGTTGTAATTTTTCAGTGCCGTCTGTTCTTTAGGTGTATTTTTGCCCCCGGGCCGTCGCGGAACTGGACGTCTCGGCCAGGGAACGGTTGGGGCGAGGGTTCCAGCTGATATTGCTCTTCGCGATGCCTTGGCTTTGTCTGTTCCCGACGTCGGATGCCCGAGTCTCTCGTCAGGATGCGACTGACTCGTTCGAGAGATTCCCAGCAAGGATTCAGGGCAGCCCAGAGCAGTCACGCCACCCCATGCATCATCTCGGGACTTGCGAGGTCTCAGGGGTGTCTGAGTCCCACGTCCATCGTCCTGCTGCTTCTTGCGCGTCAGAATGTGGCTGTCCATCTCGCATGAGTCGAGCCCCGAAGAGGCGCCGCTCGGACACAGAGGCTTCGCCATCGGCGCCTTTCGGCTGCGCCGACTCGGCCGTCAGCACGCGGGATGGAGGCTCCGACCTCTCCTCGCGTGCCTGGGGGTCGTCGACCAGAGGCTCTTTAGAGGCCTCTTGGGGGGTGTCTTGGTGGCACCTTGGAGGCATTTTTTGGGCCCCCCTACGGGCGTCGGGGGTTTCTCGGGGGCATGGCTTTCAGATGTCTGAGGCCGTCGTGGGGCTTGCTGGGGGCTCTCTTTGGCTGACTTGTCGCCGTCTTGGGATGTCTCAGAGCCCTCTTGCCTTTTTGGGAGGTTCTTGGGGCTCTCCTGGTCAGATTTTTCTGAAGCCATCTTGAGGCCGTGTTGAGCCGAGAAGCCGAACAGGCAAAGCATTTTGGGAAAGCCTTACGCCCGGTGCCGCCGACCTCCCTCGGGACCCCTGCTGGCGACCTCCCCCCAAGACCCCCCAGGACCCGGTTGGGCGGTATTCTGACCTTGGACCCCCCTTAGCCCCCGCTCCAACTTCCCCCCCCCGCGGAGAGAGGGAATCAAGGGGAAGGGGCCTCCCCTCGACTGAGCCGCGACGTTCTTCAATTTCCTTGCGGTTGGCGGTTGAAGAGGAGGGCTCGGGAAACGGAAACAGAAGGGAGCGGCGACGGCGACGGCGACGGCGACAGCGACGGCGACGGCGACGGCGACGGCGACGGCGACGGCGGCGGCGACGGCGACGGCGACGGCGACGGCGACGGCGACTGCGACGGCGGCGTGGCAGCGGCGGCGGCGGCGGCCACCACGACGACGACGACGACGACGACGACAAGTCAAACGGAGCAGCGCTTCCCACACGCCGACAGGGTCGACGTATTTGAAAGCAATTTTGACAAGCGAGGCTGTCCAGACCCACTGTTGGAGCGTCTTGGAGTCTTGCTTGGAGGTTCTCATGGACCTCCTGGGGTCCCTTTGGACATCTTGCAACCTTCCGAGGGCCTTCTGGCGTTGCTTGGAAGGTTCTTGGGGGTCTTGGGTTAGTTTTGTGCGGGCTCAGTCTCTGTCTTTCTTTCTTTCTTGATTTCTTTCGCTAGGCCTATGTCACGGTTATAACGGCCAGTTGCTAATGGCATTAAATATGGCCCATACTGCGTGGACAGCCTCGTCTAGAGCAATCGCCTCAGCAGTCAAGGCAGACATCGGCTCTCGAAGAAAAGTGCCTCCTCATATGACTGGAGTGGTCACTGTGTGGGCCTCCTTCTGAATGATGGCTTCGATGCACCATGCTGCCGCCGAGCACGTCCCAGCCCGCGTGCGACCGTCCATGTGAACCAAGAGATGAGCCATCGAAAGGTCTTCTGTAGATTTGTTTCCAGCTTGAAACCAAGCTTTGCGTTCGTGCATCGCATCGTTGACCAGGTAGTCTGCTCGGACGTTCCATGCCGCTGCTGCAAGCAAATCATGTCGTCTATGTCCCGCGCTGGGCGCCAGCCGGATTGTATCACCTTGAAGATGTTGGAAGTGATGCGCTCGAGCATGGGGGCGAGACGATGGTCTGTAAGCGTGGTAGTTCCATTGACCACGCCAGCCAGGGGCCTGCAGTCCGTGATGAAGACAACCCGCCGTGTCGGTCCTTCCCAGAGTACCTCTGGAACATTATCGCCATGGTCGTCCGGCAGCTCGAATTGTGGAAAATAAGACATCCATTCAAATTCTAGACCCCTCGCGTAGCCCCACCAGCCTTGGACGCCGCCCGACTGCTTTCGGTGCGGTCGCGATCAAAAAAGTAACCCCACCAGCCCATCCAGAAACGATGCCCAGAAGATTTGCCTCGATCAGGGAAGTGGGCAGCACACAGAGGAAGGGTCCCCCAGTGGAGGCCTCTTGGAGTGTCTTGGGGGCCTCTTGGCGGTCCCGGACGCCTCTTAGAGCGTCTTGGGTGCCTCGCAGAGCTTCTTGGGGCCTCTTGGGGTCTCTTGGGAGCATCTTGGAGGCCTCTCGGGCGCCTGTTGGGGCCTCCTGGGGCCTCCTGGGCGCCTCTTGGGGCCCTCTTGAAGCGCTCTGGGGAGCCTTGGGAGCGCTCTTGGAGCCCTCGTGGGCCATCTTGGAGCCATCTTGAGGCCTCGGATGGCCATCGGAAGCGAAAAGGCTCAAAGAAGGGGCTCCCTTAATTAGCGTCTCCCCGCCACGAGGCCCAAATGGGGCCAAAACCATGGTAAAACCAATGATTTTGGCTTCCTCGCCGAGGCCGTTTTGGACGCCCTGACCACTCGCGGGGCGCCCCGTCCAGGTCCAGGGGAGGGGGTAGGGGGAGGGGTCAAGTTACCCCCTCCCCGCCCGCAAGCTGCTCGCTCACTCCCACCCGCCCTCCCAACACATACGTAGCACCCGAGTCTGGCCCGAGCCTCAGCAAATGCAGCAGTCGTTTTTGGATGGGCAGCTACTGGGGGCCAATCCGCCGCTGCCCCCGCCGCCGCCGCCTTCGCCGCCGCCTTCGCCGCCGCTGCCGCCGCCCGCCGCCGCCCGCCGCCGCCGCCGCCCGCCGCCGCCGCCGCCGCCGCTCCCGCCGCCGCCGCCGCCGCCGCCTGCCGCCGCCGCCTTGCCGCCGCCCGCCGCCGCCGCCGCCGCCCCGCTGCCAAACCGCCGCCGCAGCCGCCGCCGCTGCGCACCGCCGCGCCGCCGCCCGCGCGCCCCCCCCCCCCCCCCCCCCCCACGGCTGCACCAGCCGCCGCCGCCGCCGCCCCCGCGCCGCCGCCGCGCCGCGCCTACGCAGCCGCCGCGGCCGCCGCCGCAACATCCGCCGCAGCCCGCCGCCGCCGGAAAGTGTACCTTGTATGGGTTTTTGCGGGGATTGTGGGGGGGGGGCGCATCGGGTTGGCTGCGCATGTTCCGAATTTGGACGCAGAGTGTGTGTTTGTATTGTTTTTTTACAAGGGATTGTGGGGGGGTGTCGTCATGGACCTGGGTTGGCCCCCAGACGCCTGGGGGAGCGGGTGTTTATTAATAGGGAACAGTGATCAAGCTACCCCCTCCCCGCCCGCAAGCCGTCTCGCTCACTCCCACCCGCCCGTCCAACACATACGTAGCATCCGAGCCTGGCCCGAGCCGCAGCATATTCATCAGTCGTCTTTGGATGGGCAGGTACTGGGGGCGAATCCGCCGCCTCCGCCGCCTTCTCCGCCGCCGCCGCCGCCGCCGCTGCCGAATCGCCGCCGCCGCAGCCGCTGCCGGCGCAGCCGCTGCCGGCGCAGCCGCTGCCGCCACCGTTGCCGTCGCCGCCGCCGCCGCCACCGCCGACTGCACCCGCCGCAGCCACCGCAGCCGCCGCCGCCGCCAGTGTATTCTGTACTGTTCTTGACCAGGGATGGTGGTGGGGGGCCCTCATTGGTTTTGGGGTGCTCCCGTTCCGCCCGGGATGGATGGGGAACAGTGGTCAAGACTCCCTCCCCGCCCGCAAGCCGTCTCGCTCACTCCCACCCGCCCTCCCAACACATACGCAGCACCCGAGTCTGGCCCGAGCCTCAGCATATTCAGCAGTAATGTTTGGATGGGCAGCTACTGGGGGCCAATCCGCCGCCGCCTCCGCCGCCGCCGCCGCCGCCCGCCGCGCCGCTCGCCGCCGCTGCCGCCGCCGCCGCCGCCGCCCCCGCTGCCAAATCGCCGCCGCCGCAGCCGCTACCGCCGCAGCCGCTGCCGCCACCGCCGCCGCCGCCCCCGCTGCCGAATCGCCGCCGCCGCAGCCGCTGCGCCGTAGCCGCCGCCGCCGTACCGCTGCCAAGCCGCCGCACCGCCGCAGTCGCCGCGCCGCCGCCGCCGCCGCCGGACGCAGCCGCCGCAACGTTGCCCCCGCCGCCGCCGCACCGCCGCCGCCCGCCGCAGGTGTACCTGTATGGTTTTTGACGGGGATGTGGGGAAACGCATCGGAAATCGCGCATGCGCGGAATTTGTGGCGAGTTTGTTTTGTATTGTTTGTTACAAGGATGGGGGGGGGGGGGGGGCCGCACGGTCTCGGGTTGGCTCCCAGTCGCCTGGGGGAGGGGGTGTATATTATTAGGGAGCAGTGATAAACCCTTCCTCGAAGGGGAAGAAAAGGGGTTGGAGGAGGAACCGCCCTAAACCACCTACGCCCAGAGGGCTGGTGGGATTCCATGTTGCACGAGGCTCAGAGGCTCAGTCTTGAGGGCCCACGCGACACATCTCAAGGGCCCCCGACAGCCCCCGAGGGCCCCTTGGAAGCGGCCAAGAATCTTGGGTAATCGGGGGTCGGGGGCCGTTCAGAACCTGATGGTATCCTTGGGCGCTCCACTACGCGCAGAAGGCGCTGTGCCAGATCTGTGGACCCGAGGACCTCGCCTTGCTCCTAGATGCGAGGCAGGACCACCGTCAGCGTCACGTAGAAGCTCTTCTGGAAGGTTCGTTGCTTCAACTGGCACCTCGGACTGCATGGGTTCTTCGAGCCTCGCAAAACACAGCCTTTGAGCCTTGGCGTGCGCGACCTCGTGGTGAAGAAAAAACACATGCGCAGCGCTGCACAAAAAGGCCAACAGCGTGGTTACTCGGGCGTGAGCCGCCCGCGCCAGGCCGTGCCCGGGCGCCCTCGTTCCCGCGCAGCCATCGCGCAGGTCCGCTGTGTCTTGGCGCGTGGGGCCCGTTTGTGTTCGCCGGTCAAACAACGCCCTCTCCCTCTGGGGTCTCCAGGGGCCGGAATTTCGAAGAAATTGGGCCGTAGGACGTAGGAGGTCCAGGGTCATGCAAGAGTTCCTTTGCCTCCACGCTTTCCTCACCTTCGTCTTCCTCTCGCTCCTCCTTCCTCCCTCCTCCCTCCTCCCTCCTCCCTCCCTCCTCCTCCCTCCTCCCTCCTCCTCCTCCTCCTCCTCCTCCTCTTCCCTCCTCCCTTCTCCTCCTCCTCCTGCTCTTCCTCCTCCTGCTCCTCCTCCTCCTCCTCCTCGCCGCGGCCTGGGCCGGAGCGGCTGCCCTCCCCTTCCAGGGGCGGCGCCGGGGCGCGATTGGTGCGAGGACAATCGCGCGTAGCGCCTCGCGGGGTGATTTGCACACAGTCCGGTGGCCTTCTCTTGACGCTGATGCACGCGGGACCACCCCTCCCCACGGCTGCGCCTGCATGCAGCAGGGGCCCTCCGCTCGCGGCCGTCCATCGCCGTCTCGAGGAGGAGGAGGAGGACGAACTGGGGAGGTGGAGGAGGAGGAGGAGGAGGGGGAGGAGGAGGAGGAATGAGGAACTGGAGAGGAGGAAGAGGAGGAGGAGGAGGAAGAGGAGGAGGAGGAGGATAGGGAGGAGGGATGAGGCAGGGATGATGATGATGATGATGATGAGGAGAGGAGAGAGGAGGAGAAGGATGAGCATGAGGAGGAGGATGAGGAGGAGGAGGAGGAGGAGGAGGAGGAGGCGCGACGCGTCAGGAGGAGGAGGAGGAGGAGGAGGAGGAGGAGGAGGAGGACCAGTGTAAATCGAAGACTCGTCAACGATATTGCAATTCACCCTCTCTCCAAGTTCCCTTTTCATAGGTCCCTACGATGATTCATTCGCATTAAGGCAAGTGCCCCGTTGGGAGACAACCATTTGAGACCCCTGAAGTGTGCTTGAACACCAGTCAACTCAGCGAATCACTGCTACTGTTGCGTCTTGCCGATCCTGAATCGTGCCAGGTCGCCAGTTCTGGGACTTTCAACACCACGAATCAACGTATTGCGCCCTGACTGTCCAACATCGTGCCAAAGCACCGCTTTTGGTATGCTAACCCTCTCAATGCTTGAAGCTGCTGTAAACTCTCTAAGCGAGAGCCACATTTCAAAAAGAAACCGCCATCCATCCGTCAAGCTGTTGTAAACTTTAAGACGAATGTGCGCTACGCTAAGACGAGAGCCACATTTCGGAAAGGATTCGTCCTCAATCCGTGAAGCTCTTGCAAACTTTTTAAGACGAATGTGCGCGGCGCTAAGGTGAGAGCCAGATTATGAAAGCCACCGCCCTCGATACGTGAAACGGGTGCGTCTTTCAAGCTTCCGGATCATAAGTGGAGAAGAGGTCTTAGGCGAAACGCCCAGCCCACGCTTTCGACAGGCCTCGGGCTGCGCTTTTTGTAAGGAAAAGGAAAGGCGGTGGAGGAGAGGAAGGACGATGGAGGAGTAGGAGGAGTAGGAGGAAGAGGACGAGGAGGAGGAGGAGGGGGAGGAGGAGGATGAGGAGGAGGAGAGGAGGGGAGGGAGGGAGGGAGGGAGGGAGGGAGGGAGGGAGCGAGGGAGGGAGGGAGGGAAGGAGGAGGAGGAGGATGAGGAGGAGGAGGAGGCAGCCCCGCGCGATGGCCTTCTGCGCCCGCGAGGTCTTCGTGCGCTCCGGCTGGCTCTGCCTGGCGAGGGGGGGGGCTGGTGGCGGCACGCCGCGGGGCGAGGCTCACGTCGGGCAGCGGCTTCGCGTCGGCCAACGGCGGAACGATCGAGGGTCTCACATGGATTAAGGCGCGTGGATCAGCGTCGGGTCCCGTTTCGATGCCGAGTCGGCGCGCGCTGTCGCCAAATGAGGCGGCGCTGGCCTCAGGTTCCGAGGGCACCGTCCCCGATCCATGGATCTGGCGCCCACGCGCCAGATCCACGGGTCCCTGACCCCTGTTGGCGCGCGCCAGAAAGGAGGGTCACATGGGGATCGTTTGAGGATCGCTTTTCCACCACTGAAGTCAGGGCGCTAAACGTACCTGGCTAGTGTTGGGCGGAGATCCAGCAGCTCGCTCTCATATGGTCGAGCAGCTCACTGCACTCTGCGGCCTGTAACGCCTTACAAGCATCCGATGGAGTCATCCATGACAGAGCTTCTTGTGAGATGGCCTGCTTGCGAGCACCTGACAACTACAGTCAGGGCGCTGAAGTGGGGACTGCCTCGGGCTCGTGAGGAGGAGGAGGAGGAGGAGGAGGATGAGGAGGAGGAGGAGGGGGAGTGGGAGGGGGAGGGGGAGGAGGGGGAGGGGGCGACTGGTTGTTACTGTGGCCCGTTGGGTGTTAGTGTGGCCCGTTGGGTGTTAGTGTGGCCCGTCGCGCGGCGGGATGGGAGTTACTGTGGCCCGCGCAGGCCGCTCAATGAAAAGTATTATGTAAATGTATCTCATGTTAGATCCGGAGAGATTCGCAACCCTTACGGGAATGCACTCCCACGCAGGCAAAGGTGGCCACAGTAACTCCCACCTGGAACCAACGTGGTAGTAGTGCTGTTTTAGTGGTGTGGTGGTCGCTGTGCTGTGTTAGTGGTGTGGTGTTGGTAATGGTGTGTTAGTGGTGTGGTGTTGGTAGTGGCTGGTTGTGCTGTATGCCGTGTTCGTGGTGTGGTGTTGGTAGTGGTGTGCTGTGTTAGTGGTGTGGTGTTGGTAGTGTTGTGTTAGTGGTGTGGTGTTGGTAGTGTTGTTGAGTTATTAGTAGGTAGTAGTGTTGTGGTAGTGGCAGTGGTGCTGTGGTAGATGTGTTGTGGTAGCGGTGTTGTGGTGTTGTGGTTGTGGCATTGTGGTAGCGGTGTTGTGGTGTTGTGGTAGCGGTGTTGTGGTGTTGTGGTGCTGGTATTGTGGTAGTGGTGCTGTGGTGTGGTAAACGTATGGTGCTGTAGTGTTGGTGTTAGGTAGTATCATTCATAGGGAGTGCTAGTCCTACGGAGTACTAGCCGCAGGGAATGCTAGCCCCAGGGGGTACCAGTCCTAGGAATTACTACACCTAGGGCGTACTCGTCCAAGGGAGTTCTCGTCCGACGGAGTACTCGCACTACGGAGTACCAGCCCTAGGGACTACTAGTCCTAGGGAGTGCCAGTCCGAGGGAGTGCTAGGAAGTACTGGCGCTAGGGAGTGCTAGCCCTAGGAAGTACTGATGCTAGGGAGTGCTAGCCCTAGGGCGCTAGGGACGAGTAGTCGTAGTAGTAGTAGTAGTAGTAGTAGTAGTAGTAGTAGTAGTAGTAGTAGTGGTCGTAGTGGTCGTAGTCGTAGTCGTAGTAGTAGTAGTAGTAGTAGTAGTAGTAGTAGTAGTAGTAGTAGTAGTCGTAGTAGTAGTAGTAGTAGTAGTCGTCGTAATGGTAGTCGTCGTAGTAGTAGTAGTAGTAGTAGTAGTAGTAGTAGTAGTAGTAGTAGTAGTAGTAGTATGATTAGTAGTAGTAGTAGTATGATTAGTAGTCGTAGCACTCGTAGTAGTAGTAGTAGTAGTAGTAGTAGTAGTAGTAGTAGTAGTAGTAGTAAGAGTAGTAGTA